AATATGCCATTCAAAGTCACTTAGACACATTTAGAAAGAAAAACAGGTGCTGTTTCATAAAGTTTAGATTATAAATGCAGATGCTTCTAAAGTATTGGTTTTGGACAGGCAATTTACCTAAAAAAAATAAATAAATAAAAGCACTTACTAAAGTGCTGGACTGGAGCCAGTCAAAAGAAACTACTGCTGTAACAAGTGAGCTAAGGTGCCACTAAACTGAGTAGTCAAAATGATTATGCATTTTGGAGAGAAAACTGATGGTACCTGCTGATGGATTAGTATGAGATGAGGAAAAGGCAAGAGTTCTGATGATTCTTACTTAACTGAATGGATTGTCATTACCAGAAATGGAAAAGACCAGGAGAGGATAGGGAACCGAATTTTGTTTTGGAGATGAGGACTGAACAACTCCACATTTATAATTGGAGACATCAAGTATATACAAGCCTTGGAGTACTGAAGTTGGAAGGTCCAGCTACAGAGAGAGACTAATATGTATATACAGTTGATCCACATTATTCAGGGATTTCTTACAGGAATATACCTTATTCACCAAGATTTATTTGTAACCCTCAAATCAATACTGATCATACAGAACTATAAAAAAAATCCTGAGTTATGGCCCTCCCTGGTGGCACAATGGGTTAGGACATAGCACTGCAAACTAGCAGTGCTAGCCCCTTCAGTTTGACCCTCAGCCCCGGAGGTGACCCACATGGCACAGCAGACCTCTCCTGACCCACCAGCTACTCCCCTCAGCAGTGTACTTCGTTTACCTATTGTTCTGCTCCCCACTCTGTCTCTGGTGAATCTTCTCACTGCCCCTGCACCTCTGGCCTGTACGCCAGTTCTATATGCATAAGTAAGTAAATCTTAAAAAAAAAAAATCCTGAGTTGCTCTATAGGCATTCCTATGCCACACTCTGCCTTCTTGTTTTAGCTCTTGTGCAAAATAAAGCAAACATTCAAAAAGATTAATAATAACTCTAGCTGGGGAGCTAGGAATGGCTTACAGTAGAGGGAGCACTGTAGCTGTGCCTTGATGAATAGGTAGAAATTGGTGACAGAGAGATAGGCCTTTTAAATAAGAAAATGTGAGTAAAGAACCACAGAAGACTAATATTAATGTCTTAGAAGTAATGGTAAGAAATCTGAGATGGGATCAGGAGGAAGCTCGAATGAAACATCAGATTGGATTTTTGTTAAACAAGTGATGCGAAAACTACTGAAAAATGTGAACATGAAAGTCTTATGATCACAGTCGGGCTTTAAAAGATTTAACTAGCATGAGTGGGTAGAAAGGATTGGCAAACAAAGAGACCAGAAGCAGGAAAACCAGTTAGGATGCTGTCAGAATCAACCAAGTAAAAAGTAATAAAGTCTAAAAGTAGGGCAGTGGTTACTAGACAGAAATAATGAATCCAAGATACCACATACTATTACAGTGATTTACTAGCCACAGAAAGATGGACTTCACACAATTCAAGTCAGAAATAGAAAGCTAATTTCACTGTAAAAAATATAAATATGGCTCATATGGTCTTTTCCAGGCATGAAGAACAGGGTAAGTTGCATAAATACCTGGTGGACAGCTTCATATATTATGCATTCAATGATTATTTACTGAGGGCCAACTTCTAGGTACTGTTATACAGGCATACAAAAAACAAATACTACTTTTTTATTCACTGTGCTTATACTGACAAATGCAACATGGCAAATCTTTATAAAAATTCTTTCTAACACACATAGAACTTATTCAGTAAAATGAATTTTCTTTCAAGATGACCCTGGTTATGGATTTGTAGTTGAATTTAAAGCAATAATTGCTAAAATAATTTATCTAAGACCTCACATCCACACGAATCACTGTTCTGATTAAGTCAAGTAAAAACAGTTCTGAAAGTCTAATACTTCCTCTTAAGTAGATGTCAAGGAAAGACAAATAAGGATGATTTCCAAAATGTCAAAAATGTGCCCAGTAAAAAGTACCTCCCCTCACTTTTAAGGGGGAGGGGACAAACCCCAATTCATGCCCTAAATGACTGATGGCAATACACATGGGGATACAAAATAAATGGGTATAAGCAGTTAAGATTTGAAAAACCCAAACACCACCTATTCTACAAACAAAAACAAGCACGTAGAAACAAATTGTGAATGGAGTTGTGAAAATGGGAATGATTTAAGAGAAAACTAAAAATAATGGGATAAAAGGATGAAAATTGCCATTTAAGCTGCGGTAGCTTATTATATCACTGAATCCACCTGAATCAGAGCCCGCATATCCTAAAACATTAGTGTTTTTCTCACTTATGAGAATGCTATAATAACGAAAAGGCTTAAGATTTAACATGACTCTATGTAGAAATCTTATACTATGCATCGGGAGGCCCTAGTCCAATGACTGATTTCCAAACAGGCAAGGGAGCTTGTCAAAAATGCTCATTCCATAAACCCAGTTACAGGGTAACTGAATTTCTTAGCTCTGTGGTGGGGCTCAGGTATATACAAATTTTATCAAGCATGCAAACTACCTCAATTGCAAGTAATCAGGGGTTATAAAACTATGACCTTTAATGCATAAAACAAGATAAGCCTAACAGAGAGATGTTAAATGCCTTACTTAAATTTAGAGTTCCCCATTCCTCTCAGGCTGACAGAATGAAGTCCTTCTCCCTTCAGCCTCTCTTCTCCAATGTTACTCCTACCCACTTTCTAGCCAAACTTTGTGATAAAGTCTTTCATGCCCACGTGAGCCCAACTTAGGGTTGTATTGTTAATTCTTTGATTATATCTTTTTCCACAACTGGTATAAAAAGTTCCTTGGGGAGAAACTGGGCTTTTAATTTTATATCCCCTTCCAGTGAGACATACAAACATCACATTCTTTTATACTGCCTTCAATTTGTACCCGGCTTTTCTCCAAGTAAATTGTCAGTGCAGTGCAAAGCATATGAGTGCTAAATAAATGGCAATTTCATACTTAACCCTGTAAGGCAGGTTTTCCTATGGGTCATGTCTCAAGATCAAAAAAGAAACCACATTTAGTGGGTCACAACATCATAAAGAAAAGCCAACACAATTATTTGATGTGGATGTGGGTCAGGGTATTGTAATGGAGAATGCATCGAATATTTCTTACTGTGGGATGTATTCAAAAGATTTTGAAAGTCACAGTCATGTAAATGTTGAACATTCAACCACTAGGTTAGTCTTCTCATCCCCTACTCCCAGAGCTAAAACTGTCTTCAAAGGTTCATTCCTCCTTTCCTTAACTCATGGTAAAAATGAGGGGTATGTCCTGAATCTGAGGAGCATTTTTCACAGTGCAAGTTTCACAGGAGTTTGTGTTCCTTTTTCGGATGAGTCATCTGAGTGTCATGATGTGCTTCGGATGGGCTCTTAGAGCACCTGTCTCTCGACTCAAGTCAATCTGAAATTCTAGAAGTCCAGAATGGGAAATGAAATTTTCACAACCACTCAGCTTCTTCCACTCAGCGCTTAGGCTTATTAATGTATGTGGTTTTTTCTCAAGATCAAGTTCTCTCCTTATCTTAGAGCCAGGTTCTCTATTTCCACCATGACATTATACTTTCTGGTAACGTTAGATGCTCTTTATAAATGTAAATGTAATTATGTACGTTCTAAAGCAATGTCCTTCTCTTAAAATAGTATTCTTAAAACAAAAGTGTACCTTCTTCTAGCTTCTGGGCATCTATCATGTATTCTCTTAATCAGCAAGCATGTGAATACTTACCTCGGCCTAGCTGTGACCTGTCATAGCTCTAATACAGCCTTTCACTGTTAACAACAATTTTGAGCTCAGATCCCCCCCTTCTCCAATAACTTTGCTAAATCCCTCCAAACTTCACTAATACTGCTCACACTTCTATGCCACCTACCAGTCTCTGTCATGTTAGATTTATGAATGTCTCCTACCCTGTTTTTCATGAATGCCTCTAAGTCCTATGGGAGTGATCACCAAACATGAGCTGTGCACATCACATAGCAGGACTTTGGGTCTATTTATTTTATTGTGTTGAAGAGAGATTTATCAGTGGATTTAATAGGTTAAGAACTGTTTTGATTTTGCACACCCTCCCTACTGTTGGCTCAGTTGCATTAAAAAGAAAACTATGAAGTACATAATGGGACAGCTAAGGGAAATGGCAAAAAAAGAATGCAGAAATAAAAGATGAAGGCATGATAAAACTAAGCTCTGCATTGCCACACGTGGTCTGGTAAATCGTTGCCCCAATCCCTCTCTACACCATTCTGCTCTGTCATTCCTTTACCTTATTTCAAGCTTCCCACAACACTTGGCTGAACTTGTCTTAGTTCTCTTCATAAAGCCATGTACCCCCAAGTCAATCAGGCAACGGGCTTGGTAGTTCCTTTTGTGGCCTCCACTAGTCACATTTACAAGAATAAGAGCAACCATTTCCCTTTAGCAGTCCCAACTAAAATGGAAGCATGTAGACCTGGGTACCTTTAATCTTCTGCTAAGTCCCAGACTTGTTTAGGTCGTCTCATTTCCTCCGTTGGCTACCATCTCAACAGTGCCTTGAACTAGACAGGTCTTACAGGCGCATAACTTCGCCACACCACCTGAACTTAAGATCCCATTACTCTTCACACAAGCAGCCTAGCCTACCCATAGGCCTAGGAAGGTTATGTTATCCCGTCAACGTTCTGCAAACGGCCTGACCTTTTGCGCTTTTCATTAAACATCACACCCTGACTTCACTTCCTCAGAATCAGTCTTCCCCACCGGTCCTCTACTTCCTTTGGAGTCACCATCAATCCCCAAGTCAGGTAACCGCTGATCACCTCTTCCACCTGGGGAGATCCGCGTCCTGGTTCCCAACTAACCTCACTTTTTCCCCCCCTTTCCCATTCCAGGCTGGGGCGACCGGGGCTCGGCCTCCCGCTCGCTCTAGGGTGTCTCGACGCCGGCCCCTTGCCCCTACTCTACCGCCACTTCTCCCCCTACTCACTTTGGGCTTCTCAGGCAGTTTCTTCCGATTCTTCTTCTTCTGCTCCTCGCTCCTGAGATTCTTCAGGAGGGCCAGGTCGTCGGGGGCCGGAGCCGGCGCGGCCACTGCCTCCTCCCGCTTGCGCGGCGGGCTCCTGCGCTTCTTGCGGGCGCCGGCGCATGCCGCGGCCCAGCCGTAACCCATCAGGAAGAGTAGCAGCAACCCAAGAGCGCCCGTGCCCACCAGGATGACCCAGCCCGGGTACCGCTTCGGCTCCAGCCCTAGGTCGAGGCCCAGCTCAGTGCGCAGAAAGCCTAGGCCGACCGAGAGCATTTCCCGCAACCGGGCCGAGCCGTCCTCGGCCTGCTGGGCCAGCTCGTCCAGCCAGCTCCGTGCAGCCATCTTCCCCGTCACAGGGATTCGTAAGATGACGCTGGGGCTCAGAGACACCGTGGAACGGAGGAGGGAAGAAAGGGAGAAGCGGGCCGGGCTGCCTCAAGCCGAGCGCATCGCGGTCGCCCCTCACGCCGCAGCCGGGATCGGCCGCTGCCACCGCCTGGAGGAGAGGGGGGCTCCCAGTTCCCCCTAGTCAGCCTCACTCGGCGGCCACCAAGAGGAGGGGGCCGATGGGAGGGAGTGTCTCCAGTGGCGGCCGCTAAGCGGCGTCTCCGCACCAGTGACAGGCCCGCTGTCCTCCCTCGGCGGAACAATGGCGGCTCCAGCCGCGAACCACGCTGTGCGCGGGGTTGGCGGGGGCGGGCCGCAGATCACGTGGGCGCGGGTGGGCGGGCTGTGTGGGTCACGTGGGGGAAGGTGGGCGGAGCCGTAGCCTTCTGCGCGAAAACCGACCGTTTGCAGTGGGCGGTGAATGGGTCGCGCGGTTGGAGGCGCGGACCTGGGGACCAGTGACTCAGGACCGAAAGCTGATAGTGCTTAACTGCTTAGCTTCCGTGGGGCGGCTGATGGCTCTGAGTTGGCAGACGCGGCGATTTGAACGAGTCTAGGGGAGGAGCCCTGGAGGAAGAAGGGCGGGAGGGAGTAGACGAGGGAGGGCGGGGAACCGGGTCACGGGGTCTAGGTCAAAGTCTCCCTAATAGGTGTAGGCTTTCTTCCTTCTTTTTCTGGGAGTGGTATTGGGGTGGAAACATGTTTTTTTTTTTTCTTTCTTTCCGTAGATCACCCTTCAGCTAATATGTTCCTAGGTTGAGCTCAGCTGCTCTGAAACTGTGCACTCTTCATCCACGACCTAGGTTTGATTCACAATTGGATATTCTCTTCTGGGTTAACTCACACTCAGCCTCCTACCATTGCCAGCCTTCGCGTCGTTTAGCTCATTCATTCTTGCTCAGTTGTTGTTACGCCCCAGAATTCAAATGTTAGAAAGCCCGTGGGCGGCACTATTTCTCTACTAATTTGTAACTTTTAATAAGAAAAAAGGAAACACATTAGATTGTGTTTTCATGTAGAGGTAACTTCCTCGTTGCATTTTATTTTAAGATTTTCTGCAACACCACATAAGGATTTTTTTAATTCTGGTTTTATATGCTTTGTTGACAACTTCCTTGAGGTAGGGTTAGGATGAAATGAGTTGCCTTTGCAGATTTTAATTACAAAGGTGTTTGGGAGCTGCTTGAGGATTTTTAAATTACATTTTGCTATAAGGAAACTGTTTTAGCATTACATAGTAATTAGCATGCAAGCAAGTGTGTTAAGTGAACTAAGTATAGGCTTTCTGAAATAGAAAATAGGTAATACTAATAACTATCAAATGCCAAAAATGTATTAAGGAGTATTTTGACCTACTTTGCAACAGTGCGGTAAGAGCCTATTGTGATTAAGAGGTGGGAGGGAGTTTTGCAAATAATAAACTACTAAGATGTATACATACTTAGAATTAAAGACTGTGTAAAATACCAGTCCAAAACCTATGTCATTAGAATCTGCTTTGACTTTGAAAGATTCCAGATTCAATTGATATTTATGAAAATATATATATATATAACCCTACCTCTGTTTTGGTTCCAGAATCTGAAGGATCATCACTTTCCTCAGAAATTGCACTGCCCATTCTAGACTTCACCCACTTCAGGGGAGAAGTTATCAGTTAAGCTATTATATATAATAGTAATGGGGTTAGCCTGGCTGCCTAGCAGGTACTGATTGTGCAAAATATCACCTTTCTCCTTTTTTCCCCCTGTAACTGTCCTTTAAAATATGTTTACTGTCTTTGATAATACAGTATAATCACTTTTCACATTTAACTTTCAACTCATCTTTTCAAGCAGATTTTAAAAACGTAAGTTAGGTTACATACTATATACTTTTTTGGACTTATGGATGTAAATGTTCTTATCAACTGATAAAGTACACCTGATAAGGCTCACTAAGACCACACACCTGTAATCTCACAAATATTGGCTTATTAAATTGCAGCAGAATGAAATTTAAGAAAAATTTAAATAAAGCAATGGTAAAGACTCAAAGGACCCTGTGTCTAAAAGGAGTTAGTATCAGGGTTGGCCTAAATAGATTCAGAAGCCTAATTTCTTGGAACTTGCAAAGTCAAGATAAATGTGAAAAGTGGTTTCTGAAACTTCTTACTTGAAGCACTTGGGTTGGGCATTAAAAACGTCTTTTACTAGAGTCAAAGTGACCTGTTCATGGAAAGCCACTCAGAAATAAAAAGGAATGAACTACAAACACATACAACTACATCAATGAACTTCTCAATAATTATGCTAAGTGAAAGAAAGCAGGGCAAAAAAAAAAAAGAGTATGTATTGTCTGATTCCACTTAGCTAAAACCGAAAAATGCAAACTATAGTGTCAAAACAAATGATTACTGGGAGTAGAGAACAGAGGGAGAAAGAAGTGGGATGGAGCGATTACAAAAGGCACTAGAAAGTGGAGTGATGGATATGTACATCTTTATTGTCATGTGGGTTTTAAGAGTGAGTGTGTATGTAAAAACTTCTCAAATTATATATTTTAGATATAGCAGTTGATGTCAACGTATAAAGGAGTTCAAAAGAAAAGTTTTAAAAAGTAGCCTACTTACAAGGGTAGGATCTTACAGTTTCACTGTGGGATTTCTAATAGGGCTTTTGCCAAACATGATTTTAAAAAAATGGGGAGGTTTCTCAATAACTATGTCCTTATGTTAACTAACAACAAGAGTTTTGTGTAGTTTTGCACAATAAATACTCATTTATTATCTGACACCACTGCAATTTCACATTTTATTAGTGGATAATTTGAATTATTAACAGGTTTTTGTTTTGCCATTTAGTGCAATTTTGTCATGAACTTGCTTGTGACTAAATTTCTGTTAATATCCTTAATTGCCTCTGGAAGGTAGAATTCTGGCACTGTAACTGACCATAAAATGTGATTTATAACTGATGCATAAAATGTGATTTAACCCCTTTGAAGCTACATGCAAAAAAATGAAAGTAGATCACTGCCTCACTCCAGTCACAAAAATCAACTAGAAGTGGATTAAAGACCTAGACATAAGAATGGAAACTATAAAATACCTGAAAGCAAAGATGGGTCAAACACTACATGACATACACTTCAGTGACATCTTTAAAGACAGAGCACCCAATGCCACAATAGTGAAGGCAAAGATAAAT